GGTTAGAAGGAAATCGTCCAAATCAAAAGGTTCAGGTTCAGCTCTAAGTTTCGAGCAGAGAGGCAGATGCCAGAAGAAAGGAAACCAGAATAGGAATTGATCGAAATTAGTGAAGAAGAAGTCGAATTCGAAGGTTAGGCAAAATGTGTTGGAACTGCGGCCAGGAGGGCCATATGTCTTTAGTCTGTAAGAGTCCAAAGAATGATGCGGGTGGGCAGCAGGCTCATATCGTACAGGATGTCTTGATCCTTGCTATGGATAGCGACTCGGATTCTTAGGTCATTGACTCAGGAGCCTCTTTTCACGTCATTGCTAACAGGAAGCTTCTCCAGAACTATGTAGCAGGGGACTTTGGAAAAGTGTATTTGGGGAATAACGAGCCATGTAATATTGTTGGAAAGGGTGAAGTGTAGATTCAGATGAATGGCTCTAAGTGGACCTTGAAGAATGCGAGACACATGCCGAAACTGAAGATGAATCTTGTTTCGGTGGGATATCTTGGAGCAGAAGGCTATGTTTCGACTTCACAGGGGATTCGTGGAGAATCTCCAACGGTACGATGATAGTTGCTCGAGGCAACAAACTTGGGACTCTCTACCTCACCTTACATGCGAGTGACACCCTCGCAATTACAGCTGGTAAAGAGAGTACAGATCTGTGGCACAACAAGCTAGGGCACATGAGCGAGAAGGGGATGAAAATCTTACATTCATAGGGAAAACTGACCGGGATCGACTCCGGGAAGTCGGGGTTTGTGAAGACTGTATCTTTGAGAAGCAGAAGAAGGTTAGTTTCCAGAAGGGTGGAAGGCTACCTAAGGCTCAGAAGCTAGAGTTGATTCATACAAATGTATGGGGGTCCAGCCAGTGTGTCGTCTTTTGACGGTTCGAGATATTATGTCACCTTCATCGACGATCACTCGAGGAAGGTGTGGATCTACTTTATGAAGAACAAGTCAGAGGTGTTTGGAATCTTCAAGAAGTGGAAGGCCATGGTGGAGAATGAGACAGATCTAAAAGTGAAGTGTCTAAGATCAGACAATGATGGAGAATACGAGCTAGAGGAATTCAAGAGGTTCTGTGCTACGAATGGTATTCGCTTAGAGAGGACTACTCCAGGGACACCACAGCAGAAGGGTATTACAGAGAGGATGAACAGAACCTTGATAGAGCGTGCTAGGAGCATGCGATTACATGCAGGTCTGCCTAAGACATTTTGGGTGGATGCGGTGCATACGTCAGCTTATCTTATTAATCATGGGCCATCAGTTCCATTAGAATTTGGGATTTCAGAGGAGGTTGGAGTGGAAAGAAGATAAATCTCTCACACTTGTGGGTATTTGGTTGCGTGGCTTATGTTCATATCAGTGACCACATCAGGGACAAGCTAGAGGCTAAGTCACAAAAGTGCACATTCATTAGATACGGTATTGATGAGTTCGTGTATCGTCTTTGGGATGAGAAGAATAGGAAGATCATCAGAAGTAGGGATGTGATATTTAATGAGGAGATGATGTACAAGAACAGGGAAGATACTAAGGATAGCCAAAGCAGTGGGAGCAACACTTCGGATGCAGGTGGATCCGAGTACATGGATATAGAGGAACTTCTAGATAGGGGTGATGATGTTTGTTCTAACCACAGAACGGAGGATGCTCCAGGTGCAGAAGAAACTACTCATGGCATAGAGCTTAGGAGGTCATCCATGGTACCCAAACCAAATCTCAGATATCTTTCATCTCTTGACTACTTATTGTTAACAGATAGCGGTGAGCCGGAGTGTTATGAAGAGGTAATGCAAGTGAGTGAATCTCAGCAGTGGGAGCATACGATGCAGGAGGAGATGGATTCTCTACTCACTAATGAGACATGGGAGTTAGCCCAGCTACCTGCATAGAAGAAGGTCTTACATAATAAATGGGTCTACCGGGTCAAGTAAGAGAGTGATGGAAGCAAGAGATTCAAGGTCAGATTAGTAGTGAAGGGGTTTCAACAGCGGGAATGAATGGACTACACGGAGATATTTTCCTCTGTTGTGAATCTCTCAACCATCAGAGTGGTGTTGAGTTTGGTAGCTGTAGAAGATCTCTTTCTTGAACAGTTAGATGTGAAGACTACCTTTCTTCATTGTGACTTGGATGAAGAAATCTACATGAAGCAGCATGTTGGCTTCATTGAAGAAAGAAAGGAAGAGATGGTGTGCAAGCTCAAGAAGAGCTTATATGGCTTGAAACAGACTCCGAGACAGTGGTATAAGAAGTTTGATAACTTCATGCAAAACAATGGCTATAAAAGATGCAACTCGGATCATTGTTGTTATTTCAAAAGGTTCGAGTCCAGCTTCATTATCTTGTTATTATATGTTGATGACATGTTGGTAGCAGGACCGTGTTTAGAAGATATAAACAGTTTGAAGAAGCAGGTAGCAAAGGAATTTATAATGAAGGATCTGGGTGCAGCAAAGCAGATTCTAGGGATGCGAATCAGTAGGGATGAAGTTGAAGGGACGTTGAGATTGAGCCAATTAAGAAGGTACTTCAGAGGTTCAATATGCAGGATGCTAAAGTTGTTAGCACGCCTCTGGAAGTCGGTTCAAGTTATCTGAGGAGCAATCGCCCAAGACAAATGCAGATAGAGAGCATATGAGCATGGTGACATATTCTTCGACCATTGGGAGTCTCATGTACGCGATGGTTTGCACGAAGTAGGACATCGCCCATGTAGTGGGAGTTGTGAGCAGGTTTGCAAACAATCCAGGGAAGCAGCATTGGGAGGTCGTGAAGTGCATATTGCAGTACTTAAGGGGAACAACGAACAAGCCACAATGTTTCAAAAGGAAGGAGTTGGTGCTGTAAGGATACGTGGATGCGGGCTTCATCAGTGATCATGATACGAGACGAAGCACCACGGGGTATGTTTATACCTTAGCATCGATAGCAGTGAGCTGGGTCTCACGTCTGCAGAAGATTGTGACTTTGTCTACAACCGAGGCTGAGTATGTTGCGGTGAGTGAAGCAAGCAATGAGATGATCTGGTTGAATGGGTGTTTGGAAAAGTTGGATCTGAAGCAAGGGAGAGGAGTTTTTTATTATGATAGCCAGAGCGCTATACATCTTGCTAAGAATCCAGTATATCATGTCAGAACGAAGCATATCGACGTAAAATACTATTTTATACGCTCGCTAGTTGAAGACGGAAAGTTATATTTGATGAAGATTTTGGGGAATCAAAATTCGACGGACATGTTGACGAAGGCAGTCACCATTGAGAAACTGGAGTTGTGTGCCACTTCAGTTGGCCTTCACGAGTAGAAGACAAAGGCGGAGCCACACTATGAGGATCGGCGAGATCGCCGGAATATTGTTGATTGAAGAAAGAATTTTTCCGGGAGGGGGGGAGATACATGCGAAGAAGGGGAGAGTTCGGGTGAACTCACCGTAGGCACTTTGGTCTCCAAGTGGGAGATTGTTAGTCTAAAGTGTAGACCTAAAGTTGAGACAAGAGCTGGAATCAAAATGATAAAGAAAACAGGCAGACGGATCCACGGTTGACCGCGAGTCTTCTGCGGTCGACCACAAACAGGCACAGGGGCTCAGAAGGAGCTGGATCCGAAGGCGGTCGACCGCACAAATCTCGGTAATTGGTTTTGGTCTCGGGTTTTGGTTCGATCGACCGCCGCGGGCGACCACGAGACCTGCGCGGTCGACGGCGAGACCTGCGCGGTCGACCGCGACGCAGTCAGCCAGTTTCCTGAACTGTTTTGGATTCTGTTTCTACCAAGACTCTATATATACCTTAAACGATTTTTAGGGTTTGGAAGAACACGAAAAAGAGAGTTTTGACTGCAGAAAGAGAGAGAATCTCAAAGAGATTAAACCCTAGTTTAAGAGCTTGTATTTCTTCTTCAATTAATAAAGAAACTGTGTGGTGTTGCTCCCGAGGACGTAGGCACGTTGCCGAACCTCGTTAAATCTGTGTGTTCTTCTCCTTTACTATTTTACAAAGTTAGATTTTTATTTGTGGTGAATTTCCTACTTTCCTACTTTCAACACAAGGTCCGGAAGGGCAATGATTCGATTGATTGTTTCGAATCCCCAACAAAGTAGTAAAATTTGATATAAGAAGGATTTGAAATTTGCCAGAATATAAAAATATAGTCATCAACTTTCACAATAATTTTGAAGTTTTGGTGTAATTGTTAGTGGAGCTTAAGTTAAGATGATACCAGAGCAATCCAGATTCGAATCCCACTATCCACAAAATTAATGCGGATTTCCCATTAAAAGGGCATTCTACCTAGAGGTATTATGAAATTCTTAACGTAATGGGGAATATTTATTTACTTAAAGCTTATGTTGTACTGCTTCATAATCATGATCATCTAACTAGACGATGTAGTTCTTCGAGGTATTTTCCAGTTAAAATTTTAATGATCCAGAAATAAATATAGGCTTAACAAGGCCCAGTCTGCAATATGTTGTGCTCATATTCCTCCATTTTACATAATGTATTTTCAAGTCAAAATGTATTGGCAGTCTACATCTCTTTACCTTGTTCTCAACGGACTTCAAAGAATTGTCTTCTCCTCTCTTTCTTTTTATATTTCTTTCCAAGCATAAACACACAGTTCTTAGTTCTCAATGCTTCCTAAAACTTATTTTTTTTATCTTTAACTGCAGGACCAAAGAATATAATGGAAACTTTAACCATCAATCATAGAATAAACCAACGGTTTATCCTTGGATATTAAAAGAACAGATACAAGGTTTTATTATGTTATGGATATTAACCGCCTTTCATTGTTCTTGATGCTGAGATTGCCAAATCATGGTTTAAATGGGATAAATTGCCCGGCAAGTTGAAATTGACACATGAACGTACTGACATGCGGAAGGTTTCGTAAGGCTCAGCTAGTTCACGCTGAATTGTCTATATAAAAACACAAAAACGAAACACAAAATGAAGCCGAGGTAAGAATTAAGGAGATTTATTCAAACAACCATGTCGAAAAACATCTACTGCATTCTTTTTCATTTCGTGCTTATAATTTTGGTCATTGATCTTGCTCTTGGAGGAAAGAAAGAGCGTAGTGAACGTCATGCTGGTAGCATTCAAACTTTGGGATTTCAAGAAGCAGATCGTAAGTCCTCATCGGTCGTAAAGAGCGCATGCAAATCAAGGGTGGAAATTTATGGCTTTCCTTGCGAAGAACATACTGTATTCCTCCTACACTCTCCTCTGTTATGCCTTTCAAATATTTCACGACTAGTTGAATGGTCTCTAACAAGTATATTCACAATGCGAGATAAAGTAAAGTCAATTGTAATCATATTCACTATAGCTACATACGTCGTTTAGTAGCGAATCAATAAGAAATCAAATCCTTCCTCTGAATTTATATTCCTGCAAATGATTGTATTAGGGATATGCTTTCATGATGATTCAATTAAGCATATTTCAGGTGACAACAAAGGATGGATACATACTCAGCCTATTACGACTTCCAAATGGCCGGTCAGGTGCATTCTCAAGACCAAACAAAATCCCTGTCCTACTGCAACATGGCCTCTTAATGGTAGGTGTTAATTCTTAAAGGCTTGCTTGGATTGGGGGTAATTAGGGATAGGGGACGTTAGGGGATTCTTTATTCTTGTTTGAGAATTAGCT